GGAAGGAAGGAAGGAAGGAAGGAAGGAAGGAAGGAAGGAAGGAAGGAAGGAAGGAAGGAAGGAAGGACAGGCTGCCCACTTTGGCAGGGTGATTATTACCAGCATCCACCTGCCTCAGACAGTGCTGGGGTCACCAGCTCATAACAGCAGTGGCTGCTTGCTCAGGGCATCAGCTGCCTCACACAGGGGCGAGGGCTGCCGGCTTCTCCTCACCGGCTCACCTCCACCTCACACATGACAAGGGTTGCTGGCTCACCATGGTGGCTCCCGCCTGCCTCACATCGGACTGGGGCTGCTGGCTCCTACTCACCTCATAGTGGCAGTGGGGTAGCAGCCTCCCAGACCTTCAGCCCACCACGACTTTTCACTGTGGCCTTAATGTCCAATCTGTCCCTGGTGCTGAGGGTGGGGAGCCATCGTGCTTAATTCCTTGGTTACATTAATGAAAATTAATTAATTACAGTTTGGCATAGTGGTTAAGAGAAGGGGCTGCGGTGGCTCAAGTGGTTAAGACGCTGAGCTGCAGACCAGAAGGTCAGTAGTTCAGCAGTTGACGGAGTGAGCTCCCCTCTCTGGATTGGGTGACAGCACCCGGGGTCTGCAAAGAGAGCCTCATGTAGCCTATGCTCAGTCTGCTGCAGTGCATAATCTCTGAGCCAGGGCCAGAACCTTGTAATATTGTTTACACTTTCCAAAAACATCTCAGGAGTCCGAGTGAGAGACAAACAATACCTTCAAATTTTTAGGGAGTTGGGTCCGGGTTCCCCAGACTGAACTCTGGTTCCCAGCAGCCACACAACAGAACATAAGAACATAAGAGAAGCCAATGTTGGATCAGGCCAATGGCCCATCCAGTCCAACACTCTGTCACACCGTGGCCAAAAATGCCAGGTGGCATCAGGAGGTCCAGCAGTGGGGCCAGGACACTAGGAGCCCTCCCACTGTTGCTCCCCCCCCAAGCACCAAGAATACAGAGCATCACTTGCCCCAGACCGAGACTTCCTATCTATACCTGGTGGCTAATAGCCCCTGAGGGAACTTTGCTCCATAGGTTCATCCAGTTCTTGAAGCCATTCATGCTTGTAGCTGCCACCACCTCCTGTGGCAGTGAATTCCATGTGTTAATCACTCTTTGGGTGAAGAAGTATTTCCTTTTACAAGAATGGACTTGTAACCTGTTTGGGCATGGATTGGCATCACACGGCGGGGGGCAAGAGGAGGGGCTCCTGCCTCCCCCCCCCCAAGCACTGGGATGAGGTATTTCCCTGTTTTTGCTGCTCCACATGGAATACTCCATATGGAGAACAGAAGCAACAAAAACATGGGAATCACCCCCCAGCATTGTTTTGGCACTGGAAAACGACTGCAGGTGGGAGGCAGGAGGCCTTTGTCCCCTTCCAGTGTTGTTTGGATGGGCTCTTCTTTATTTTCACAAAGCCATTTCCTTCAGCAGCTGCTTTAAAAACCCGAAGGTATAGTTGGGCCCTTAGTCACGAAGATGCAAGGATGTGTCCTCTCCCCCAACCTTTCTTCCCCTTCCTCAGCAAGGCACATGATGTAATAATATGTTCCTCAGAAGAACAGAGCAAGTATAATAACCCTCAAGATATTTGTACCATGAAGATACACTCACTCGTCACTGGAAATGATTGACATTTTTATAAGAGGGCCAAGCCCGCTGAGGGGCCTCGAAATGGCAGCTTGTCAGGCGTCTCTGAAATGTGTTTTTCATCTCGCTCTTCAACAGTTTGCTATGAAAATCGACCAAGTTGAAGATTTCCTGCAGAACTCCCAAGAGTTTGAGAATCCGGAGTCTTTGACAGCACTCCTGAACCAGCACGAACGTCACACCAAAGGTAGAAAAGGGGATTTCTTCTTTTACTGTGACATTTTCTAGCATGTAGTATTTAGCAATCAATTTGGCTTATCCAAGGAGGGGAAATTAATAATTTTCTTGACTACTGTTCTAATCTTGCAAGTATCTAAAATTACAAACATGTAAGCTAGCAGTGTAAACCTACGAAATCAATAGGCTTAGCCTAGAGCCACTCCACAAAGGACTGCACTGTAAATGTATTGAAGCATAAGTAGAGCCCACTTTTCTGATGCAGGGTGGGCTTTAGCCTGCTACAGTTTATGCTAAGATAAATTCTTTCAGTTGCTTTATTTGTGTGTGGATTCCAGTATAGCTACCTCACCTGTAAATCACATCCAGCTTCCCTCTTCTCTATACCTTCTCTCCGAAGGTGGGAGGCTCTCCTTCTTTGGAGGTTTTTAAGCAGCGGCTAGATGGCTATCTGGCAGCAATGCTGATTATGTGAACTAAGGCAGATCATGCACGGGAGAGCAGGAAGGGTTACTTCAGCGCTTAGTTCGTGTGGCCCTTTCTTACATGCCCAGGGAAATGCTGGTCGCCACTTTGGGGTCAGGAAGCAATTTTCACCAGACCAGTTTGGCCAGGGATCCTGGTGTGGGTTTTTTTGTCATCTTCTGGGCATGGAACAGGGGTCACTGCGGGTGTGGAGGGGGAGGCATTTGTCAATTTCCTGCATTGTGCAGGGGGTTGGACTAGATCAGGGGTCGTTTCGTAGAAAAAGAGCTAGGGGAACTCATTAGCATAACTCATTAGCATATGCCACACCCCCTGACATCACCAGAAGTGTGTCATAAGGCCACACCCCCTGACATCACCGGAAATGTGTCATAAGGCCACACACCCCGCCCCCAACGGTTCCAGCTGCCGTTAGTTGATGTTACTGCTATAATTGATGTTATTGGTGGTGACTCCTAGTCGAAGGCCCGTTTTAAGTAAGCCTCTCTCAAGAAGCTATGCAAGGCAAGCTCCTGCAATCACTCAGGTCTCTGTCAGCTAAACGCCAGCGTTGAGCCAAGAGACACGCACTGTGCCTTCTCTCTGTAAGTTGCTGGAGAAATCGTTCGCTGCATTAGTCTGCTGCTTTGGAGAAATCAGAGGAGTCATTTTGCCCCAGCTGGTCTCGATTATTCTGTAGTCTGCCTGGAGGCATCAGGGTCAGCTGTCAGCATTGAATTCTGGAGCTCCTGTCTTTCCTCAGCTGTTTCTTGTGAGTTGCGCCCAGGCTCTGTGACACTTGAGGAGTCTTCCTCCAGGCTGAGTTCCGACTGGTCAAGCTGACCCATGACAGAGCCAGTTTGGTGTTGTGGCTAAAAGCGCGGATTCTAATCTGGGAGAACCAGCACTCGTAACAAATGAGTTTGGGACCTCTGGACTAGATGATCCTGGAGGTCCCTTCCAACTCTATGATTCTGTGATTCTTTTTTAGTATGCATGCTTTCCTGGTACAGAGTCCTCATTTTATTCTTCCAAATCTTAAAGGGTACTCTTACCTGGATTTGAGTAAGGCTGTGTACATTCAACAGATCCCCTAATGTTCGGTTTAACACTGTAATGCACTGTAATACTGGGGGTGTGGTACCAGCTGTCATTGGGGTTTTGCTCTGTTTGAGCACATGAAGCTGCCTGATACTCGTTCAGACCATTGATTTGTGAAGGTCAGTATTGTCTACTCTGACTGGCAGCAGCTCTTTCTCCAGGTCTCAGGTAGAGGTCCTTCACATCACCAGAGCCAGTTTGGTGTAGTGGTTAAGAGCACAGACTCTAATCTGGGAGAAACAGGTTTGATTCCCCACCCCTTCACATGCACCCAGCTGGGTGACCTTGGGTCAGTCATAAGTTATCTCAGAGCTCAAGAGCAGTCCTCAAAAGAGCTCTCTCAGCCTCACCTACCTTACAGGGTATCTGTTGTGAGGAGGGGAAGGGAAAGGAGATTATAAACTGCTCTGAGACGCCAAGTGAAGCGAGGGGTATAAATCCAATCTCCTCCTCCTCCTCTTCCTTCCTTTCCCCTGGAAATGCTAGGGATTGGGCCTTTTGCATGAAAAACAGTTGCTCCTACCACAGTAGCTCTGCTTCCCTTAAAGTTACTGATTCTACTAGACCTGGTTCTGCTGTTTAGACTTGCACCTATTAGTAGTGATTGTTGCAGTTGCCATGAGACTTGTTAAACCTCTCTGCCTGCCTTGATAGCTCACTGATCCCCTTTTTCCGTTTTAGAAGAATGCATTTTGATTGTGATATCAAGCACTGTCCTATTATGTTGGGTATTTTAGTGTTCCTCCCCCCTCAAGGATGAATCTTGAGCTTCTGTTAAACTGGAGAAATAAAACAGAAATATATAATTCATGACCTACATTACTTAGGGCGGGGAGATCTAAATACCTGCACAGTCCTGTTCTCAGTGTTGTGCCTGTTTCTTTACACACCTGCAGAAATTCTAGCATTTCTTTTTGCAAAGGTAACGTCGATATGCATTTCAGGGTCTGAATCTTATTTTGTGTGCCTAGTTAATACAATGAGATTTTCCTGCTTTTGTGTCAAGCTTCTCTGAATCTGGATTAATGTGGCGATTTTTTGTAGCGTGCTTGCTACTTCAGAATTATGGAATGTTTCAACACTGGTATCATAATGTATGGATGTTTGGAGCATGACAACACATGTGGTGTACCAGGAATCTTTGACATTAGAGTCAGGTGTTGCTATAGTTTGTAACCTGCTTTATGGTCGATTGATAGCTTTGCTTTACCAGGAATCTTTGCTGTTAGATTGAAATTATTTTTGTCGTTTAAATGTTATCACGTTTTGCAATCAGCATACTGAAGGCCCAGATAGTTCTGTTCCACTTGTAATCCGCCTTGTGTCCCAGTGAGAAAGGCAGATTATGAATGAAAATAAATAATTAGTGAGTAGAATGGCAGATTAAGACCAAGGAGACCCGAGTTTGAATCAGTAGTCAGCAATGAAACTCACTGAACATTCTTGGCTCTCTCTTTCTCTCAGCCTAACCATTTTTATGGTCTAAAAATCACAGAGCCAAGGGATGTCTAAACTCTACCGAGACCAACCTCTTGCTGCAAAGGAGGACTATTCACTTGAACCAGCCCTCAAGAAATCAGCCTACTCAATGCAGACCATAGTCACCAAAGCCAGAGATAAATTCTTGAAGATTGGGGGGGGGGTTTTTTCCTGGAAAGGGCAGAATTTGTAGAGTGGAATGGGCTCCCTGAAGACAGAAGAGGGCTCTGTTATTAGAAGTTAGAAATCCTAAGGAGGCTACAAGGCCATTTTATTTGTCCAGGATTTTAATGGGGTTATAAACTGTACACTCCTTTTAGAGTATCTGCAGGTTTATTATTGTAATGATTTAACTGTGACTTATAAGCAACACTGAGCCATGAGGAAGGGTATGATATAAATAATATTTATTAAAATATTAGTAAGCAGGGCTCTAGTCGGGGGGGAGCTCTCAGGTACGGAGCTCCGGAAGAGAACCTCTAGGGGGCGGGGCCGTCACGTGGTGAAGCCCCGCCCCCTTCTTTACCCCGCCCTCTGCTTCGATCCTCATTCCGTTTGGGAATGAGGATGAAGCAGGAGGGTAAGTAGCCGGGCCTTCTGACACACTTCCGGTGATGTCAGGGGGTGTGGCCTTCTGTCACTTCCGGTGATGTCAGGGGGCGTGGCATATGCAAATAAGTTATGCTAATGAGTTATGCTAATGAGCTCCGGCAGCTCTTTTTCTACAACAAGACCCCTGTTAGTAAGTAGTATATTGACTTGACGGCAAAGAATATCAAAGACTGTGGTTTTCAGGTCCCACACAGTCCTTCATTGTTATGGTCATTTGACGAAACATATAACCAGTTTTACAGTTTACACAATAAACAACATTTGTAGAATAAATTAAAACATGTTCTGATAAAATTTAAACCTGCTTACGATACAGTTTCCAGAGATATGGTTGGCTTCTAGTCATTATTTGCCAAATATCTGAAAAAAACAGAGGGGGGGATTCTTTCACTTTCTCGCCCTCCTAAATTGGCTGTAGGGTTGCCAGAAAGGGCCTGGTAACCAATGTGGGGACTTATGGCCGCAGTAGGGTTGCCAGCCTCCAGGTGGGGCCTGGGGATCTCCCGCTTTTACCACTGATCCCCAGCCGACAGAGATCAGCTCCCCTGGAGAAAATGGCTGCTTTGAAGGGTGGACTCTGTGGCATTGTACTATGTGGAGGCTCCTCCCCTCCCCAAACCACACCCTCTCCTGGCTCCACCCCCAAAGGCTCCAGGTATTTTCCAACTCAAACTTGGCAACCCTAGGCCGCAGGGGTCCTCACTGGTAAAATGATGACATCACATCCTGTGGGCCCAGAAGCTACATCAGTGTGTTGCCAGGGGACACTAGATGCTCTGGCTAGGGTTGCCAGACCCCACACTCCAACCAGGGAATCCCCTGATCAGGGCTGTAATCCTTCGTTGGCCAATGGGGAAAGCCCCACGCAAAGAGGCCCACCGCGCATCGATGTGGTCAGTGCAGTGATGTTACACACAAGTGACTTCATCACGCTGGGGACATCACGCACCATTGCTCTAGCATTTTGGCTAAAAACTCTATGGTAATCATAGAGTCTCGGCCAAAATGCTAGAGCAACAATGCACAACATCCCCAGTGTGTTGACATCACCTCTGTGTGACATTCTTGTTTCGACAACATCGCACACAGTGACATCGCCCTACCCCCACACTCCCAGACGGCTCCGTCCCACCCCTGCCTTCAGGACAATTGGACCTGGCAACCCTAGCTCTGGCATTTGGGCAAAACTATATGGTTAACCATAGAGTTTTGCCTAAATGCCAGAACATTTCTGACATCCCCTGGCGACACACTGATATCACTTCCAGGTGCACAGGGAGTGATGTCAGTGTGTTGGGATGCTGCTGACTAGGGCTGCCAAATCCCCCCGAGGGGTGGAAAAACCCCCACCCC